TATCGCAATTGGTGGTCTATGATTGAATCAATGAAAGGACTTGTTTAACTGTTCATCACATTATATTTATTAATTCACAAATGACAAAAAATGCTAATAATTATGATATAAACGTTGTGCTTATAGGTTGGTAGGCGAGATTTGGGATGATAATAGCTGGTTATCCGTGTCAACATGTAGAATACTTTTTATTTTGGGAAAATACCTCTTCTCTGAGAAATCTATACCTACTAAACGTCAAAACGTAAGTAGGGACGAACCCGAGCAGAGCAAAGGTGTGGCGCTAGTACTCAATAAAGTAAGAAAAACTAACTTATTCATACTAAGCTGTGTCATAATCTAGTTGCAAAATTTATTAAATTTAGCAAAAATATTAAGTTTAAAGCTTCGTTGGTTCCAACAGTTTGAAAATTTTCTCGTACCTCGACATCTGTCAACGCTGCGAGCCGCCACTTTATTTTGCATTTTGTGTAGAAGAACAGTGATTTTCATAATAATTTGCTCGAATTTTTAACGAAAGTTTTCGTTTGATTTTATGAAAACTTTGGTTAAAAATTCGCTAGCATTCTAAAGAATATAATAAATAAAGGAAGCGACTTGTGACTAATCCAGTTACTGCACGACTAATATATAATTATTTGTTCTGCTACATTATTTTGTTGTTGGAGTTATTTACTTCTCTTGACACGTTTGGAAAACAATATGAGAGGAAAATTTTTACGATGCGCGTGCACACAGCCAAAAAGCGACGTGATGAAGTAAGCTGAAAGCGACATGATGAAGTTAGCTGCATTCCTTTTACAAACAGAGAGTTGTGACATACGGGATGAAATCTTTAGCTATTTTTGTTCTGTTAAGCTAAAGAATTATAATTTCTTAACTGCGTATGTATTATATATATATAAATATAGTTATATTAAATTTAAAATATCAATTAAAATCTAAGAAACTATTATCTGAAATATTTCCAAAGTTATTTGAATATACTAACGCCACCTAGTATCACATATCTAAACCAAGTAAAGCTCTTCGTGAAATGAATATTTTTAACAACAATTTAAGTAAGCTCGAGAATATAGTTCGTGTTATTTCCGACAATATAATGAAGATGGCGCTCTATAGTCGTAGAGATAGCTGCTACGCTTTGCTACGCCGTAGACAATTTGACGTATTTTCGTTAACAATGTGGATTTAATTATTTATATAGGTTTGTATTTTAAAATAAGCCCGAAGCCGATGTTTCCTGGTGTAACAAAAATCCAGTTAAAAATATAATTTATCAAAGCGATTTATCGTCAGCGCCAAAATAATGAAGTTTAAAGTTTTGTTTGTAAATTTTTGCGAGCTTTTGGTATAAGTTACAACAATAAAGCCCAGATGGCGCTTATGATTAAAAATATTTATATTAAATCACTATTATTACTCTACAAAATAGCTTAATACGACTCTACGAATGTAAAATAAAAAAAAAACTTAATAAAAATATAATATATTTATTAAGTAAAGTTTTCAGCTTAATTTTGCTTTCTGATTTATAAGACCTCTATCAATTTTCATATTCAGCTCAACAATAAACTTAGATACTTACTACGTACCAAAGCGTCTACATAAGAAGCTATAAATACAAAATTGGCTATTAAAATAAACTATGAAATTAATTTTATTGGCTTAGTTTTAGTACGCGAATTTGCTCACATGGAAGTTTCGTTGAAAAATAATAACAAGTTAATTCAGGCCATAAAATCTATCTATCTGGTGGACCATAGGATCAAATACTGCGTTCTTGTGGTCTGCATCGGTAGACCAGCCGCCGGACCATCGTGGTTGAGTGCGTAAGTGATCTAATATTAATCAGCTCTGAATCAAACATCATTTTGCTCTTTATAATATGATACTCTTTTGAAATTCTCAATAATTCGAAATAATAACATAACTCTACGACTCATATACGTAGAGATGAGATAGCTCATTATAAAAATTTTGTAATTATTTTCCGGCTGATGATTTGTATTGGCATTAGTAAAAAATCATAAATCATCTACCACTTAAAATATTTGTGTTCAATTTTAAAACCGTAATCGTCTCTATAAAAACGCTTTAATATTCAAAAATTTGCAATAAAAACTTAAAAAAAAACGACTTACAGGCACTAAAATGTAAAAAATAACTAAACGGGGGTTTTTATTTAAAATAGATACCTAATCAGATATTTTCGAAGTCGGTTTTTTTTTAGTTTTTATTTTTATATTTTTAGTGTAGACGTATGGTATGGTATGGTATGTTCGGGCTGTTTTTCGCAACTCGACGACTATGCGCCTATTTTGCGTGTGTCATAGTAGTAGTAGTGTAGACGTAATAAGCAGGTAATTTGTAGGAAGAAAGTTTTTAATAACATATTCGATTAAACAATTTGTTTAAAAAATATATTTATTGTTGATTTTTTTAATAACCGCTCGACCGGTTTCGAAAAAATTTATATGGGACCCCCTGGGAAGTATACCCTTTTAAACAAAACAAAAATTTTCAAATCGGTTCAGGCGTCTTCGACTAATCGGTGAACATACATAAAAAAAAGATACCGACGAATTGAGAACCTCCTCGTTTTTGGAAGTCGGTTAAAAAAGGTTTTCATAGTTATATAATTTATCATTTGACCCATAGTACTAAATTACTAACGTATACATAGTTTTGTAAATGTGATTTGAGTCATTAGTGTTTCCGTATATAATATAATATTATGCTCACTAAACGATAATATTTCATTGTCAATGTCCTACACATGTCTGATATACTCGTATAAACCAAACAGGATTTGGGTATCAAATTATACTAAAATTTATTTATATTCAATTTTTAATATAAATTTAAGTATATTTCTTTAAGTAAAAGTTTATCTGACTCAAAAATATATAAAAAGTATAATCTTCAATCTTAACGTTGGCAGTGGTAGTCCAGTAGTAACGCAGTCGTTTGGAAAACCGAGGGAACCGAGTTCAAATCCAGGGTTTTGATCTCTGATAATTTCATGTGCGAATCATTTTCAACATGATCACCACTTGTCTTACGGTGAAGGAAAACACCGTGAGGAAACCTGCATGTCTGAGAGAACTTAGCAAGTTTTTGAAATAAATGAGCAGTCCGCTAACCCGCACTTGGCCAACGTGGTCGACTATGGCCTGATTTCCCCTCGTGTTGAAGAGAAGCCCGTGCCCAGCAGTAGGACGTTAAACAGGGCTCAATACATAATCTTCAAGTCAAATCGAATTTGCTACTACTCAAATATAACAGACGGACAATGTTCAACAAAAAAGTTGTTTTAATAAAATTTTAGGTTTAAATAAAATAGTAGGTATGTAGATCAAAAAGCCCTACATACCAACAAGCTTTGAATAATTAAATCAAAGACGAAAAATTGATAGCAATACGAGACCAATCCCAATATTGAAGACGTGACCTGTTAACAAAATTTAGCTGCGAAATTTATTTCATACCAAGTTTTATGGAGAAATTTAGAGGTTTTTAAAGAATTTTTGAAGTAAACTTTATTTTTATAGATATAAAATCTTATTTTTATCCTTTAATATATTATACTAAACGAGTTATTCTTGTATTTAAATTTTATTTCGTGTATCTCGGATAGGACCCTATCGATTTGGATCAAATTGTGTATTTAGTTAACGTTTTGCTTTTAAGTTTATCTATATATGAGGTTTACATGTCTCTAAAAAAACACAAGTTGTTTTTTTCAGAAAATGCTGAGCGAGGCTTGTTTGCCCAGGTACTTACTACATGTTACAATATGAGGATTTAAAGTATATTAAATTTTTATTCGTACGCAAGAAGTACATAAAGTGAAGTTGCATGGGTTCATTATAGTTAAGAATATTCATATCATTATAATAAAGTATAAATTACGCGTACGAAGCTAAAATAAAAGTAAGAATTTTCCATTTATATTTGTATTTTTATTAAGCCGCTTGTTGCAAATAAAGTAACTCAGAAACAGAAATACAATTTTATCTAAATATAAAATAGGACTTAGGTGTAATATATATGGCTTCGTAGTAGAGAAAGAATGTTCAGAATCGGAGCCGAAGTTTCAGAGATTGCCCTCTACATACAAACTCACATACTTTACCTCTTTATAATAATAGTTGGTTCGTGGCTTAGTACAGACCAAATCTTTTCTTCTCTTGTGTTAGAATCATATCATAATTTACACAAGATTATTGTTTAGTTATTCCATATGTATGATGTTTTAAAATATTCGTCAATTATAAATTCATTATTGTTTAAATTTATTATTATTTTAATTTAATGAGATTACACATAGAAACTTAGAATAATTTAATTAATATTTTCAAATATTGTACTAACGCGCGCACTACTTCCGGCTGACAACTTCCTTTATTTGTTTGTTCCGGTAAAAAGGGTTGGAGGGAGGTAGCGCGCGCGCAGTGGACAGTTGATTGTCGACTGTTGAGTTGAATAGACTAGATTTGTGAAATTTCATCAATATGTAAGTATAATAAATTGATTTAATTGTGGAAAAGTGTTTTAATTACTTGAGCTCTCAAAGCTCAGAAGTGGGATATAATCGTGATAGCGATTAATATCGTCCACGGTGAAAGGACTTGCCGCCCATGCAACTGTACCGATAATTTCTTTTGTTTTTTTAGTGCAATCAGTTTAGAAGGAACTTAATTATTTTAAATATTGTATTGTAACAACTACTGGTGGTCCCAATATTAAAAAAAAATATATTCTGACTAAGTTACATAAGTTTTATATAGAGTGTGTGTGTGTGTGTTTTTTTTTGTTTTCTGTTTTCCTTAACGTCATTAGTGCCATATCCCTAGTTTATTTTGTCTGTTGCATTATGAACCTATATTATACATCATGAACTAAGATAATGCTCTAAAGGAATCAACCTTACCTAACCCTTTATAATAAGTCTAAGAATAGCTGCTTTTGTGATTTCTTATAATTTTCAGTAAACAATGGGCCGGAAAAGAAAGTCCAGTCGACGTATGAGGGAGTCTGATGATTCAGAGCATAGTGAATCAGGTTCACTAGTGCGAAGAAGGCATAAGTCGCGACGACGCTATAACAAGTCGCAAACTCGTGATTCATCGAGTGGCTCTGATGTACCGCGACACTGTAGAGTATCAAAGAAGCGCCGTAAATCCAGGAGGTGTTCTGAAACGCCTCAAAGGCGTACTGTACCGCGGGGTCATAATGGTACCCCGGATCCTGGCACGACTCAAAGGCGTAATGTATCACGGGGCCGTGATGTTACTCGAGATCCTGGCACGCCTCCAAGGCGTGATGTATTGCGAAACCATGAAGAGTATCAAAATCCTGAGGAGCTGCAAAGTACACACCTTCTTCAAAATGAATATGCAGCGGGGACGTCACAGCCTGCTACTATACCAGCAGTAACACCAACCGTGAGTGCACCTCAAATTAATGTTAGTACTGATTTTAATGCTAACGTTTTAGCCTTGGCCTTCAAGGAGCTTATTCAGACCATGAAAACAGATGGGGGTAATGAACGTTATCCGGTTATGAATGTTATTCCAGAGTTTGACCCTTCCAAGCGCAATCAAACTATTGAAACTTGGTTATTAAAGGTTAATGAGTGTGCCGAAATTTACAATTGGACTGAGAGACAAATAATTCATTACGCTCTCCCAAAATTATCAGGTTTGGCACAAAAATGGTACCAAGGTCTACCTAGTTTACTGTTTTCATGGACGGAATGGCAGAATAAGTTGAAAATGGCGTTTCCAAGTGATGAAAATTATGGACAATTGCTAACAGATATGCTTGCCTGCAGGGCTAGATTTGGCGACTCGTTAGAAGAATATTTTTATCAAAAGATGGTATTGTTAAATCGTTGTAATATAGTTGGTAAAAATGCTATAGATTGCATTCTGTTTGGAATAGATGATAGATCAGTAAGAACTAGTGCAGAAGCAACACAATTCACAGAACCTGATAAACTATTAGTCTATTTAAGCAATGTACGATTAACTAGGAAGCCTGAGAAGCCAAGTCCATCCATGCAAGCAGGTAATAATGAGAATAAACAATCCCGATCGTTCAAGTCTAATCAGAATACGTCTGACGTTAAAAATAACAGATCTTATAGGCTCACTAAATGTTATAATTGTAAGGAAGAAGGACATCCATATTTTCTTTGTAAGAAACCAATCATACGCTGCGAGAGTTGCCATAGAATTGGTCATGTATCTAATAATTGTCCGGGAAAAACTGACTCCAAAGCCAACGAAAGCAATAGTAAAACAGTTTTACGTATTTCGAAACAACAAGATAACGAATCGAAATATTTCAAAGTTGCCAAAGTTAATGGTCAAAATCTTGATTGCTACGTTGATTTTGGAAGCCAATGTACCATGTTAAGAGAATCTTTTGCAAGAAATTTTGTCAGTACTTGGTCAGTATCAGAATTACCAGTTATAAGAGGATTTGGAGATAGTATAGTGAATTGTTTAGGCAAATTTGTTGTTGAACTAGAGATAGATTCGGTCAAAGCTTCCGTAGAGGTACTTATCGTACCAGACCATCTATTACAAGTACCTTTGTTAGTTGGGCAAACATTTACGGAGCAGGAACACATAGTTGTTTATAAAAACAAAAATCAATTGAAAATATCCACTTACCCAACAACCAGTGTTCAATTGTATGTTAAAAATTCAGTAACGGTAAAAGGATTTACTGTCTTAGATGTTTATTCTAAACCAGATTACACAGGTGACTTATTTATTGAACCGAGTCTTTGCCAAGACCCCCAAAACCCGTACGAAATCTCACAGAGCATAATTCGCGTAACTAATAGTCATGGTAATATTGTTATAAAGGGACTTGACCCTGAGTTTGTTTTAACGAAAGATATGTTGTTGCTTCGAGCATTGCCTTTAACTGAATTGAAATTTGAGTCGCTAAATGTTAGTAAAATTGAACACTGCCCTGATAATAATAATATATTCAGAATCGAAGCAGAGGCTATACAAGTGGATAATTCAATTGGTCCTGATAACGTATTTAAATTGACTGAGTTATTGAACAATTTTAGGGATTGTTTTGCTTTCTCAAGTAAAGAATTAGGATGCATAACTGGTACCGAGATGAATATTAAACTTAATGACACCACACCTGTGGTTTATAGACCGTATCGATTGTCTCATTTAGAGCGTCACGTAGTTCGCGATATTATACAAGATTTAGAAAATTCGAATATAATTAGAGAATCATCTTCTGATTATGCTTCACCAATAGTTCTCGTACGTAAAAAGACTGGTGACTATCGCCTTTGTATTGACTTTAGAGCACTTAATAAAAAGACGATCAAAGAACACTACCCCCTACCACTTATAGAAGACCAATTAGATAGTCTCTCAGGTTATAGATATTATACTTCTTTGGATCTTGCTTCTGGATATTACCAGATCCCATTGGCTGAAACATCGAAACGTTATACAGCATTCGTAACGCCTGATGGGCATTATGAGTTCAACCGCATGCCGTTTGGACTCGTAAATGCTCCGTCCACATTTCAAAGGACTATTAATAGTATTTTGGGGAATGCAAGATTCAAAGAAGCATTTGCATACATGGATGATGTCATTGTACCTTCTAAAACTATAGACGAGGGATTACAGAAACTTCATGATATTTTAAATTTGTTTCGCTCTTCCGGTATAACTCTCAATCTGTCAAAATGTAATTTCTTGAAACAATCTATAGATTACTTAGGCTTTGAAGTCACTGAATCAGGTATTAAACCGGGAAAGAAAAAAATTGAAGCAGTGGATAAATTTCCTAGACCTACAGATCAACACAAAGTCAGACAGTTTTTGGGTCTAGCTAGTTTTTTCCGAAGATTTATTAAAGGGTTCTCAATTATTGCAAAACCATTGACGCAACTTCTTAAGAAAGATGCTAAATGGAAATGGGGTGACGTAGAAGAATTAGCATTTTTAACATTGAAAGACGAATTAGTCAAACGCCCTATTCTTTCTTTTTATAATCCTGAGTACGAAACCCAATTACATACAGACGCTTCTAAGATTGGAGTTGCCGGAATAATAATGCAAAGACCTAATAAAGAATCCCCATTCAGCGCTGTAGCATTTTATAGTAGACAAACTTCCCCCGAAGAATCCAAACTTACCTCCTATGATTTGGAAACGTTGGCTGTCGTGAACTCGCTACAGCGGTTCAGAGTATATCTTTTGGGAATTCCTTTTACCATAGTTACAGACTGCAACTCTCTTCGTGCAACTTTTGAGAAAAGAGACACAATACCTAGAGTTGCGCGATGGTGGAATGTTATCCAGGAATTTGATTTTAATATTATTTATAAGCCTGGCACAGCTATGACACACGTAGATGCCCTTAGTCGTAATCCCATCTCTTCACATTCAGTAGAATTACATGTAGGACATGTTGATACTGATTGGGTAGCTACGGTACAACAAAACGATCCCGAATTACAACGAATAATTTCAATCTTAAAGGATACTGAAAACGATAATGTTATAGAGATCAAAAATAATTTTATAATAAAAAGAGGATTATTATATAGGAAAACTGAAGACGGGGATCGTTGGGTTGTCCCGAAAGGAGTCCGATGGCAGGTATTGAAATCAAACCATGACGAGATCGGACACTTTGGTTTTGATAAGACTTTAGAGATAATTAAAAATAAGTACTGGTTTCCTAAAATGAGAAGATTTATAAAAAAGTATGTACAATCGTGTCTAGAGTGTGCTCATGCTAAAGTACCATCTGGGAAAAGAGCAGGAAAATTGCATCCTATCGAAAAAGTAGATAAACCTTTTCACACTCTACACATAGATCATCTAGGTCCTTTTGTCCGTAGCAAGCGCAGAAATGCTTATTTATTGTTAATTATAGATGCATTTACGAAATTTGTCATACTTGTGCCAGTTAAAAGTACTAAATCTATTCATTCCATCGCCGCAATGAAAAACTATTTTCACACCTTCAGTGTACCGAAAAGATTAATCTCTGATCGCGGAACGTCATTTACGTCTAAGAACTTCCAAGATTATCTAAATTCATTAGGTATAAAGCATATCATGAACGCTGTAGCGACGCCGCGGGCCAACGGCCAAGTCGAGCGGTATAATCGAACAGTTTTAGCAGCACTTACAGCTACAAATCATAGCAAGCCCGATAACTTGTGGGACGAATGTGTATCTGAAATTCAATGGGGACTGAATAATACTCAGAATAAGGGTACGGGAAAGAGCCCCGCACAGGCATTATTTGGTCTGGACTTGGTAGGTACGTCAGGCTCTTTATTGCAACTTAGTGTTACAGATAGTGCTGATAATGTTGATACTCCTATAGAAGACATAAGGAGAGAGATGACAGAGCAAATAAGAGACAATCAAGATAAACAAAAGCAACGGTTTGACAAAATTAGGAAGGAAGTTACATATAATATAGGTGACCTAGTCAGAATAGAAAGAGAAATTTCATCAACCGGTAACAGTAGAAAATTAATCCCAAAACTTAGAGGTCCGTATCGTATAAAAGAAGTTTTAGATAATGATCGTTATGTTGTTGAAGATACGCCATTATCCAGGAAGGGTAACAGAAATTTTAGTAGCATTTTCTCTGTAGACAAAATTCACCCTTGGATGGTTTTTAATAGAGCAGACACAGAGTCTGAAACTTCAAATAATGATGATGCTGACGAGTTAGAAGTAAGATAAGATGTTAAGGATATGTCTGAGGCCTTAATATTTTAATTAACGTTGTCGAGTATTATAAGTGGCCTGACTGGGAATATGTCTGAGGTCTCAGTTAGGACAGATATTATGGACATGTATGGGGCCTTAATATCTTAGCGTTAGAGTTAACTAACAAGTGGCTTGACTGAGAATAAGTCTGAGGTCTCAGTTAGGACAGATATTGAGGATATGTACGAGGCCTTAATATCTTATCATTGAAATGATTATTCTAGTGAACATCTATCAGTTAAGATTTGTTCGTCATCAATATGATTGGTTATGAATATGATTTTTGTTATATTTTATAAATGTTATAATCTATCACAAATACCGAACCAAATTGTTTTTTCCCGGGACGGGAAATTTATCAGGAAAGGCCGACTGTTAGAATCATATCATAATTTACACAAGATTATTGTTTAGTTATTCCATATGTATGATGTTTTAAAATATTCGTCAATTATAAATTCATTATTGTTTAAATTTATTATTATTTTAATTTAATGAGATTACACATAGAAACTTAGAATAATTTAATTAATATTTTCAAATATTGTACTAACGCGCGCACTACTTCCGGCTGACAACTTCCTTTATTTGTTTGTTCCGGTAAAAAGGGTTGGAGGGAGGAAGCGCGCGCGCAGTGGACAGTTGATTGTCGACTGTTGAGTTGAATAGACTAGATTTGTGAAATTTCATCAATATGTAAGTATAATAAATTGATTTAATTGTGGAAAAGTGTTTTAATTACTTGAGCTCTCAAACTTGTCTGAAGGAAGTGGAAGTGGCGTATATACACACATAGTACGTATGAAACATATAATATGTAGAAGTATAAAATCAAAAGTGCTTAGTATTTTTTGCCGTCTTTTCACTGCATAAATTTCATGGCGCTATAATCTTTTAGTCAGCACTTTTCTATTATCCTACTAATGGATAGGTGTTTATTACTACATATTTGCCTCAAGAACTTCTCAACGGATTTTAATGAAACTTTACAATAATATAGTTCATAAATGACAATAACAAATCGGCTACTATTCATCCGGGAAAATTAAAGTTCCCGTGGGATAGTCAAAAACTATAGTAAGTTATACAACTTAGTACACAAAAAAACTTTATTTATAAAAAATTTTTTATTGAAACTGTACAATAATATCCATACTAATATTATAAAATATGTTAAAGTGTGTTTGTTTGTTTGTCTTTCTTTCACGATTCCTATACAGTATCCCCGATTTTTTATTATATATGGAACCGATGGAACAAAACCCTAAAATATTTACAAGTGTGACTTTGTCGTTATTTTATGTTTATATAAGACTTAAAGAAAATTCTAAAGGCTTCCCACAATTTTTTCTGAAAGGTATAAAGATTTTTACGTCGTACTTCAGGCACATAAACATTGATAAGGATACTTAAGGTGAGCACTTGCCGCTATCAGTAAACACGGAATATTCTTCATAAAACCTCACAATAAAAATAGAAGATTTTATAGGATTGCAATAAAGGGTGGCTAGGAATACGGGGGAAATCAGGTTATGGTTACGATTACATCGTTCTTTTTAACTGATATCCTTTATGCTTTAGTACTTGAGAACTGTAATATGTAGTATGTATGTATGTGTATAATATACCCGCTAATTTGCCTGCAATTCTTGGGCTCTCTGGCAATCTCATACTGCTTTGTCGGTCCAATGTACATGTACGGTTACAGATCGAGAGGCTCTGGGTTCGAGACTCGGCCAAATTATAGTTACTGAGCTAGAAAGTTGGCGGTGTTTTTATCCAGTGCCTTAAAAAGCGCGTTAAGTTTCTTGGTTCTTCTCAGCTATGTCGGTTCTGCGTCTTATCCCACACGGTGGGTGGTCGTCCCATTGAGAGTTAAATAACGAGTGCACATGTGCTTGCGCATACACTTGTGCACTGCAAATATTATGTTACGTGCAAAGTGTCGCAGTCCGAAAAGATAGTTTTATTAAAAATGTCGCAGTGAAATTGGCCACCATAACCAAAATCGTTTAGAAGGATATTATGTCATACTAGCGAGTCACCCTCGTTTCGCTCGAGTCGTTCCCTACGTTTCAGGGTTAGTATAGATTTCTCAGAGATGATATATTTTCCTGATATAAGAAGTATCCTAATTGTTGCCTAGGATAACCAGCCATCATTATACCAAATTTAATCAAAATTTGTCCAGTGGTTTTCTCGTGATGCGTTCCCAGATAGATAGACAGACAGACGGACAGACAAAAATTCTAAATACTATATATTCAACCTCTATATCGATAATAATGACTATTTCAAGAAGATTTTACAAAAAATATTTAATAAATATTGTAATGTAACGTCCGTGATCAAAAACGTAAAATAAAACTATGATAAAATACGAAGTTTTGTGACATTAAAGTTTTTGGATTTAGTTTTATAGTACATAAATTATTTTAGTATACTATAATACGTTTTAATAGCGGCGCCGCTGTGTAGCTTGGCTTGTTAAACATACGCCAACCGAGTGATGCTAGTTTCATATGCAAACTGATGTTTTGCTTGTGCTATTGACTATTGCGCAGCCATTTGCAGCATATCTTAGAGCGGAATTTGAAATACAAACACGAAATAGTTGAGGTAAAATATGTTTGATTGTTTGTATGTAGTGATAATTTATGGAAGTATTAAACTAATGAATAATCTATAGCAGGAGCATTTATTCTTAAATAAACTTGCAGGCACAGCCTCAAATAGTGTTAGATAAAACCGGAAGATAGTTTAGATACCCGCCATCGTTCAATGAAATGAAATAAAATGTAATAAATAAACTTTATTCAATTAGACTTATTGTAAGCACTTTTTAATCATCAATATAATTTAAAAAGCGTCAGTGTAGTCAGTTCGTTAGTAAGCTACCATATTAGTCCATTTATGAGACAGTACCTATTATTTTCTGAGATGTACTGTATTAAAACATAAAAAGTAAACGATACTTTACTCTTTAAACTGCCTCATTGGTCTAGTGGCTGGCATAACAGCTACAGATGCGGAGTTGCTGGATTCGATTCCCGGATCAGGCCAAGGACAGTTATTAAGTTTTCTGTCAGGAAGCTCTTAGTAATAGTACCATGTCATCCCATCGGAGTAAGAGAGTGAAAGAAATTAATGTTTGTACCTATTTGTGTTCGCGCACATACTTGTGCATTATAATACTCGTGTCTTCTGCGCTGATGTCCATCTCAGTAAGATTGGCTATTGGAAGCAGGACAGCTTTCACTTTGTTTGTCATTTTTAATTACTAGGTAAATTATTATTATCATTAAAGAATAAACTTCATCTACTGGATTTGAAGCTGTGACCTCTTGAAATATTATTGCGCTATTCAAAAAACTCACCCGCGAAACGATTTTCACGCCAAAACACTGTATTTACACTGAATTTCAATGCTGTTATCTGAGGAAGTAAGACATAAACATCGGCGTAAATTGTTGGTATGAATCCCCTTTTATGAATCTGAAAGAGATATTGCGTCGAGTTTGTTGTTATTTAATGTACATAGGTATATTACTAGCTATTATCCGCGATTTTGTCTGAATGATACGTATAACGAAACTTTAACTGAGTCGAATTTGTAGATAAAATATTTTTTATTGAAATATTTACTATTATCGATACAGAGGCAGAATCTATAGTTTTTAGAATTTTTGTCTATCTGTCTGTCTTTCAACGTATCACGAGAAAACCACTGGACAGATTTTAATGAAATTTGGTGTGATGATAGCTGGTTATTCGGGTCAACGTATAGGATACTTTTTACTGTGGGAATATATATCATCTTTCTGAAATCTATACTAAACGTTAAAACGTAACTAGGGACAAAAGAAAAAGGGACTATAAAACAATTTTTTATTCCTATTCTTATAAAGTATGAAAATCTTATTTCAAATTATCTATGTAACGATTTATAGTATAACTTAATAAAATAAATTTATATACATTTCTATACATAATTGTACTAAGGTATTAATTATTACCAAGATAACTTTTTGCAACTGGCTATTTTCTAGTATTGCATGTACTCGGGCTAATAAGCTATCTCTAAGCTTAAGAAAAAATATATCGATGTTCATTTTTGATATGAGATATTTATTTATTTCAAATAACACAATCAAATAAACAAACAAATGAACACACTTTTATATTTTAATGTTAGTGAAGAATGAGAAGTATTTTATAAACTCATAAAGTATTTATAGTGCAGAAGCGTTGTGATCTCCGCTTATACGACTGTACATACATAATATACTCGTATGTATGTATGTATGTAGATGGTATGCTTTACATAAATGCATGTCATGGGCATTTTAAGCATATATTTCATTGCTTACATTTCGCCTTATTTGTACCTTTACCTGCCTCAATGGTATAGAGGCTGGCACGGCTGCACATCCGGAGATCCTGAATTCGAGTCCCGAGTTGGGTCAAATTTAGTTAATATTTAATAATAAATATTGAGCCTAAAGAAAGTTCCAGTAACACCTCTAATATTCTTCTTCTACCTGAAAATATGCGATAACACCTACAAATAAAACAATAATCTTTATACTAAATAAAATAAAGAGAAAATAGTAAAATATCGAAATCTGTATTTACAAGAAGAAAATATTTAAAGAATACATTTGTCTTAAAATTACTGTTACTTATGACCTTATATCGACCATGCGAATCATTTCATATCAATAATTATATTTGATGGACTCTATCATCTCTATCAATCTTATTCGTATTGTATTTGACTCTACGTAAGATTTTTGTACGAAATCAATTTTGTTCAAATTGAAGCGATATTTTATATATACTACGACGGATACGTTTGGCTCAGTTTGTAGTGGCAGTTTGTTTGTACTTGCTGTGCCAGCGGTCGCGGGTTAGATTCTCGCTAGGAGCGTTCATTTGAGTGATGAGCACGAATTTTGTACTCCAGTCTT